GTCCAATTACCCCAGGCGATTTTATCCGAACCACCCGGGGCTTGGGGCTACACCGGCCAGGTGCGCTCAGTCGTCGCACCCTTTGACGAATCAAAACACCCCAGGCGATTCTATCCGAATCACCCGGAGGCTCGAGGCTACACCCGTCCAGATGCAGCGCAGCGCACCCTCGGCAAATCAAATCACCCCAGGCGATTCTGTCCAAATCACACAGGGGCTCGGGGGGCTCTTGTCGGGACCGAATCTTTGGGGTACCCAAAAAGGAGGAGCCAATAACCATCAAATATTGATGCTTTCAAACAGACAAGAACACAACTACACTTCTTGCCCAACGACCAAAGGATGGCTCCGCCTCGCCCCGACCCACAGGGCGAGACTCGCCTCGCCTAAACGAGTGAGGTTGGCTCCGCCTCCCGACCCCGAGGGGTGGCTCTGCGCTTGCCCGATGTCCGAGGGCAGCGCGCCACCTACCAAGCGTTTGAGGGCAGGCTCCACCTCACCCGACGTCCAGAGCTGGGCTCACGCCTCGCCCGCGTCTCGGGCAGGCTTTGCCTCTCTCGACCCGAGGGTGGCTCGCTCACCTTAGCGTCGGTGAGGGCAGGCTGCCTCACCCAACGTCCGAGGGCGGACTCCGCCTTGCCCAGCGTCTAGGGGCTGGGCTCCGCCCCGCCGCGTCTACACCGTGCTCCTTCATAATAGCGAGTATAGAGTAAGACAGGACACTCAAGTCAACCATGTACCGAGGACCATACCTTGCGCGCTGCAAGGGAAAGTACCGTCGAGGATATAGCCGGGACGGACATTTAAGCCCTTTTAGGCATGGCGAGCCCAAGCGGTTTTGTAGGCGCCGACTTTTGTCTTCTGATGTTGTGGGTGCCGCCATCGCCGTTTCGACTCGGATCTGGCATAAGCATACGACAACCACTATGATCTAGGAGGAACTCACATCATCTCTGATAATGGACGTATGGTCACTTCCCGTGCTACGCTCCCGTAGAGGTCACGACTCGGCACCCTAAGCGCGCACCGCACCGTCCGTCGTGGGGAAAAATGGGACGTGCCCACTTGCTTTGAAACGAAGCTAGATCACGGCCCTATCAAGATCAGCAAACGTGCTATCCCTGGCACCGTCTACCATGTCAACAGGGCTGGCTCAGAGAAAAAGGAAGACCTAGCATCTTCGAATGATCTTCTTGACCTCTGGTTTTTCTTCTTTCTCCCATCTGTAACCTCTGCTCTCCATTGATCTATAAAAGGGAAGGCAGAGCACCCCACCAAGGGGACGGATCGATTGCACACATATCACACCACACAGCTAAGCAGCATCCAAACTCTTAGCACCCGTTTGACCTTCCCATCAGAGACTTGGGACCTGTCCCTCTCTCGACCGTTTGTACCCTTACTACGAATCTTTCAGTGCTAATAATACAAGCAACAGACTGGACATAGGGACATTTTGTCCGAACCAATATAAATCTTGTGTCTTTTAGCACACCATCCAAACCTAATGTGTAACAAATATAAATTTACTAGCTGGTGTTTATTCGAAACACCGACGAGCCGTATACACACATGTTGCAGAGATGTTGAAGGGCGCCATTTCATCTGCGATTCGGGTCCTTATTCCTGGGTGGGATCATGATTGGTCTGCTGCATCAGTTGCCCCATTTAATTGGCGCTACGGGGGTTTGCACTGGTTAGTAACAATCCCTGTCCACATGCATCCAAATACTGAAATCAGTATCCATTTCTTGGATCAATGTACAGATCTAATGCTTTTAATCAGTCAGGTTAGCTAAACATATTTGCAGTTAAGAGACACAAGAATGCATTGGTGTATTAGTGCAGAGCTGATTATTGATTATTTTTTTATTATTTTTTTTAAAAAATTGCAGCTTGAATGGTACTGGTGTCCTCTGTGCATATTTCTGCAGGTGCTTCAATGGGGAGCGACTAATTCCAGAAATAGAAAAGGTAATTTGTGCTGCTGTGATGAAGTCTCTTTGCTTTCAGTAAATTCATGCTGGGTACAGTGTTCAAGGTGAAATAGTACCTTCTACTACTTCTGTGCTATACCTCCAGTCGCTAAAAAAAATGTGCAACGCCAGGGGGATATTGGACGCATTTCGTCATTGATGTTTGCTGAGATGTGCGGACAAAATAGCAGTATCGGAAGAACGGAGAGCAACCGATAGGTGGGCACATAACAGAAATGCAAATACCACCACCAAGGAACATCTATAGTCGCCGTGACTTCTGCATCGTTGCAAATTGGGAGAACAGTCCTTGGAACATTTTTCGGACTAGACTTGTACATGGGTGAATTTGCCTTATGTATTATTAAGGTCTCAGTATGTGGGTCTCTTCTTTAGGACATTAAGAGGCGAGCACGTTTACTAAGTACTGTGTTTATTGGATTTCACTAGCAGGTGGACATAGCTGCTGTGGAAGGAACATGGAAGCCAGAGCTTGATGGATTCAACTCAGGAAGGCTGGGCAATGGTGCATTGAGGGCCTCGGTGTATGGGTTGCCTAATTTTGAAGAAATGCGAATTGGCAGCCACAGAACTAGAATAGGAATCTAGAAGAAGCAGGATTCCGTATGTTTTAAATACTGATAGTATCGTAATTTGGTGATGTAAGAACTTAATGTATCGCTATTGAGTACTGTAAGACCTATATCAAGCACATGAACATCACTAGATTCTCGTTTCGAGCACAAACTTGTCTAATGTTTAAGTGCATGTGGTACACAAGATTGGATGCTGCGAAGTGCGAAGTACAGCCTGGTCTGATATACTCACCATATATGTCTGAAAATACAAGTAAACATTACAGTGTTCCAATGGAATGCCTCTTTAGATTCCTGATGCATGTGTTGCCTTAACAAGTTCATATTGTTAATACTACAAATGTCGTGTTTGAAATTAAAGCCAAGACGACATTACAATTTGAATGAAGAGGCATAATTGGTTGAATGATATTAGATGAGATGCAGTGCACAGAAGAAGTTGCCAAACATTGGACTAAACTAGAATAGGCTTGATAGTTAATTCAGTCGGGTCATGAGTTTAACATTGTGTCTGGAACCCAGTTGCACATGTAGTGCCATTACATCAGAGAACAGGTGGGCAATGCCTGAAGTTTATCATGTCTTCGTTGGGGCAGCCCCAATGCTTCATGCTAAGTTGGTGAACCCATTGTCGCAAAAGAACAGGAAGGTGTGGGAAGATACTGAGAGAGACATGATAAGTAGTCAAGGCGTACTGGACTCTAACGTGCCATTACATCAGCAATAAAACGGGCCTTGCCACCCTTTGGGTTCTCTTCATCTATGCTCTGCCGATGCTTTCTCTTTGCTCTTCCTTCCATGATCCAAGACTAGAATTAGCATGTCTTCCTTCTTTGTTCGGGCGATGAAGTCTAGGCTCCCGAAGGTGATCTTGTCGTCTGGCTGCATTTTCTCTGCATTGTCGTCGAACTTGAAGATGAGACCCATCTGAAACACAATGGATCTATACGCGAAAGGCCTCTACCTAGCCGCTAACCGTCGAAAAGAATTAGCTCGGCAAGACCTAACGAGTGTATTCGGCGTCATGAGGGGAATCAAATGGGTAGCACATAAGACACAAGGATTATACTAGTTCAGGCACGTGGTGCCCTACGTCTAGTTTTAAGTACCTTCTCTCAGTATTTGTATGCTGGGTTACATGGGCTGTTGATTGTAGTTATGCACTAGAATGTAAAAGATGGGATCCCGATCAGGCGGCCCCTACCCCTCCTTATATAGTCCAGGGGTAGGGTTACAATAGATCCCATCGGCCTGCATATGTTTTTCCTAGTTTGTTGCAATGAAAGTATAACAAAATGATTCTATCCTATCGCCTAGATACGACGGTGCTAAATATCCTTGGAATGACTTGATCTTCAAGGTGGTGGATGCGTCTGGCGTACGTGGGTCTCATTCCTTGTTGTCTTCGGCCATGTAGATAGGCATGGATCGGGTATACGAGCGGTGTAGATATCCTAGACCCATATATCCAATACACTTCATCAGAGGCTGCTTGGATGAGGGGAGCATCAAGGCTGGCTACATCAACACCCAGGATTAGCTCGCAGACTTCCTAACCAACTCACTTGGGAGAGTCAAGTTCTATGAGCTTCGCGCCAAAATTGGGATGGATCAAATCCCACTGAAGGCACCACACAAAGCTTAGGGGGAGAATTGAAGCAGTAAGCCTGGTGCCTAAGATATTAGGAGTTCAAACTCTAGATTAACAGTAGTAGTAGTTGGTGCATATGTCATCACCTTATCTTGTTTTAGCATCTTATCATCTACCTTATCTCCTACTTTAGTTGTTGCAACCCTATCTCTATTTTAGTTGTATAAGCAGACCACTTGGTCCTACGTATGTATCAATCCTGCCATGGTTAAGCCGGCTACGTAATAGAGAAAATCTGCTAAAATCTATGTCTTTGCCAACAACCTCCACCGCCGTGTCACGACCACCGCTCCCAAAACTCCCTTCTAAGGTCGTCAGTGAGTAGATCCCTAACCCCATTGAGCCTTCTTCTTCCTCTCCGGTGGGGCGTGCGGGCGCTATAACGCGCTCCTTCTTCTCCGGTGGGGCACGTGGGCGGTAGGGTGAGGAGGGTAGTAGGATGGGCCAGGCCGCGTAGAGTTTGCGTTGCTAGATTGGTCAGTCACGTATCTGAAAACTGGGCTTATTGATAATCCTGAAATCCTGTAGCGACCATGCCATCCATAACAGTTTGAATGAGCGCCACAGTTAGTAGAACAGCAACTAGCATAGGAAGTGCAACCAAGCCCTACAGTTGCGATCTGCGAAGCCATCAAAAATAGCACCAAAACTGTACGAACCAGGCCAAGATAAAAGAAGTGGAAAGAGAAATATTTACATCCACCAAACTAACCCACTCAAGTAACCAGAATTAACACACACTCATCTAGCTACGCATTTTCCTCAGCTGAACCCCAATCATGACCAGATCCACAGTGCATAGTACGCAAGAGTGGCGTTCTTCAGCCTGCATAGCATCAGCAGGAAGTACTGCATCTGGGCGAAGCAGACGCCCAAGTTGAGAGCCATGGCCAGAACCTGTCCAGCCGAGTGAACCTTCCTACCAGGGAAGGTCCAGAAGAATGAACCCCACGACCAGCTGAGGCCGCAGGAGACGACACACGTCAGGGCGAACATCGCATGCGAGTTCCACCACCAACTCCGATCTGAACTTCTAGGATAAACGGAATTGCGACCTTGCAGACAAAATTTCAACCATGAATAATGTCAGCTGTTTGTTCCAAGAAAACATCTGAGAGTCTAAAGTTCTAAGTTTTAGCTCTTCTTTCAGTTACCTGGCAAATTACCATCACGATGGCACTGATGGCGAACGTCACCTCCCGGCCAAACTGTTTCACTGAAAGTGCAGATCCAAGAACTCCGCAGGAGTTCACCAAAACCAGCACGACCGATCACCGCTGGGCTACTCCTGGAACTTATAGCTCGGGACAGCATTGGCAAGAACAGAATGGTAACATTCACTCTGGTTAGCCGCAGGAAGAGTTGCAAGGCCGCCAGGACTATCATGCATGCCAAGTATTGCTCGTTTCTCGCCATGATCCTCCAAATTGCACTTGTGTCATGACCACTCCGTATCCACTCTGCCTGCTGAAGCTGAGCTTCTTTTGCGGGATATCAACAACCTTCAAACAAGCAGGGTAACAGATGCACTGAAGCGCTAGGCCGACATAATCTCGCTTGCGCCCAAGCAAACTTGATAAGAAGGTCTGACCATTGCCGAATTCATTATTATCCATGACCAAAACTGATTCTCCACGGAGGTTAGCACTATGACCAAGGATGAGTGTCCGACCAGAAAAATGCTTCGGGATCATAGTGCAGCCACAGAGCTTGGTCATTAGAACACCAATGCTCACAAAGAATGGCAAGGAGCCACACCAAGACAGTGAGTTCATAGCACGGGAAATCAGCGTGTGCTGCGAAATTGTCCAGTTAGAGATGTGTTAATAGCATGAATAAATTGAAAGAAAGCAGTATACAAAGAGCATTCTCTTGAGTGCATTCAGCAACTGACCTGTACAACAGAAGTTCTGTTTAGTAACCACCTACGAATAAGCGCCCCGTAGCTGACAGCAATACTCTGAATAGCAGTACCAGTACTGAAGAATGTACGATCGATCAACAGAACAGGAAGGTGCACCATTTTGCGGGTGAGATGGCAGCCAACGGTAGAGTTGTTTAATGATACACCAAACATATCCACATATTTCCTGTACAGAGAATTCAGCTCCAGCTTTGCCGTGGCAACGCTAGGGAAGAACGCCATCACAGATGACTGCATTTTGAGAACACCTGCATGCCAAAGCAAATTATCAGGCCATGTGCGGTAACCCAAAAAAAAATGTGTGTACACATGCTGAATAGCAAATGTAGAGCTTAAAGTGTGTTTTCAGCTTAACCTGACGACATTGTTAATCTTATAATTCCGTCTATACTCTGACTACTCGCGAAGCTGCACAAACTACTTAGTATTCAGTTGCTTCTTGTGGGTTCCTTTTAGGCACTGATTACTGGAGATGAATCATAGGCATCTTGGACCAGCAGAGTTTGGAGAATTTGTAAGCAAAAAAAGTAATAAAGGCAGTGTTCGTTGTAGGCTGGGAAGGAACATACAGATCTAATAAGTGGTATCAAAGATATCAGCAGACAACATGGATCCATCATAGCAAAGAATTTGGAACTTGGAAGAGGACATTGCATGGTACTCCTACAAATGATAAGTACAAGATATTTGCTTCGAACAGACTCCACTGAATATTCCCAGCACGTGGAAGATTCCTCCATCCAAGGAACAAGGCAACAATAATCGGGGGTGCTGGGCTACTGGCCACTGAACGTGGGCCCTACGCACGGTAAGGCTCACGTGACGCTCTCCCAGTCCCAGAAGCTAGTAGAGGTTCAGCGTGCGTGTCTCCTTCTCCAGATGCAGAGTGCAGACGCCGAGCAACACGAGCCACAAGTTGAGAGATTCCGAGCAGCCTCTGGAGGTATGATTTCAAAATCAGGACCTTTAGCTCGGCGTCATCACCGTTGGCGTCAACGACGCCGACCTTACACTGCTCAGCGCCATCGTTGCTGGTGCCGAGGTCAGGGCCACGTTGGCCCCACAGGCGCTGATATGGTAGCTAGCTCGGCGTCGAGCTCGGCGCCAACAACCCTGACGCCAAGCCCTCTCTTACGTATGAGCCCGACGTTCCTTTCTCTCTTCCTCTCTCTTTCTCTTTCTCTCACCGCCGCCGCACCGTCCCTGCCCGCGCCACCGCGCCCGCGTGCCCGCGCCCCCGTGCCGCCCCGCCCGCTCCCGCGCCCTCAACGGCCGTCACCGCCCGCGCCCCCGCCGGCCGTCCCCGGCCGCGCCCTCGCCCTCGGTGGCCGTCCCCGCCCGCGCCGGCCCCGTGCCCTCGCCGGCTGTCCCCAGCCGCGCCAGGTAAAAATTATGAATATGCAATGTAGGTGCTTAGTTAACTTTGATTGTAATGTAGTAGTTCGATTATTTGTTATTTACTAGTTAATGTGATGACTCAGGTAGTTGATTTAGTTAGTGATATAGTGAGATAGATATGTAGATAGATAGAAACATAGATACATAGATATACTTAGATATGTAGATATATAGAAACATAGATACATAAGTACATAGACATAGCTATTTTGTGAGTACAGTGTATATATATACATAGTTATTATCTTATTTACTTAGTTTGTAGTTAAAAAGTTCTTGTTAGGTACTATCTATCGTCTAATTTGGACTAAAGGACATGTGTTTCATCATATGTTTGAACTAGATGGATAACCTAGTGACCATATATCATGGAGGCACCTTTGAATGCGATCGTTATGGATATGTTGAGTTTGTTGACATGTAAAGCATGTCTGTGCTATTCAATGATAGACCTTCATTTAGTGAGATGGTTGCAAGGGCTCGGGAAGAGCTGCATTGCCTTGGAGATGATGATGATATCATTGCAGTCGAGGGTGTACTGTATCTAGATTCTCCTCCCAACATCCTCAGGCGAATGATCCCAATTGGGTGTGCGGATCAGTGGGAGAACTATGTGAGATCGGCTATGAAGAGTCAGCTGCAATGTTTGGACGTGGTTGTGCGTCGGGTGTTAGTTGATCCCATCCCTCATGGGTTTTCCCCACCAATGGGTCAGCAGGCACACTTCGACCCTCCCGTCCTGAAACCTGATATGGATGTGGAGGTTGCACCTACGGTTCTCGATGCTCAATCTGCCCCCAATAAGGTAGATGGAGATGCTTGTCAGACTCAAGTTGTTATGGCAGATCCTCCTCATGAGATCCTTTTGACACATAATCATCCGAGTAAGTGACTTATCCGCATGGTTATTGGGAGCTTACCCCCTTTCTTACATCAATTTCTTTCATTCTTTCCTCATTTCTCTACTTGTGTTGCAGGAGACATTCCTGACAATGTGGATGTGCCCCCTGTTGCTGCGCAAGTGCACTGTGGAGATGGATTCCGTGGCTCCAATAGTATTGAAATTATGATTGTTTCAAAGCCATATGAGATGACAAGGGCTCTTGATTCTGTTGATGATCGTCCTGTTGGAGAGCTGACTGAGAGTGATGTTGCGATGCTGAGGCGTATCTTTCCTGGCCATTGTGATCCAAGAGTTCACGAGTTCAGCGATCTTGCTCATTTCGATCAGGCGTATGCAGAAGGACATGATGATGAGCTCCTAGAAGCTCCTGAGACCGGCCCTAACATGGTAATTGAGAATGTGAGGGTATTCAAGGACCTCCTTGCATTGAAGAGGTGGTTGCAGGCGTTTGCAGTGATACGAAAGAGACCTTACAAGGTCTTGCATTCATATGCGGAGCACCGTTACACAGTTGTGTGTGACAAGGAACGCTGCCCATGGAGGGTTTGTGCAAGGAAGCAAAAGGTCACCAAAAAGTGAAAGATCATAAAAATTGTCGGGCCACACAATTGTGCTGACCATGTGCTGACACTGAAGCATCGGCAGTTGACATTTACCCTCATTGCCAAGCGGTTGATGGGAATATTGCAGGAAGAACCCAACATGAAGGTTAGGATAATTATCAGGACCGTTGAGGCGTTGTATGGAGGTTGTGATAACTTATGGTAAAGCTTGGAGGGCTAAGCAGCGACCGTGGAAGATGATATATGGAGACTAGGAGGATGGGTATGAGCAGCTACCAGTACTTTTCAATACAATCAAAGCGGTGAATCTAGGCATGCATTATGAGTACATCCCAAAACCAAATGCATAGATGGATGGGAGGCAGATATTCTTTCGTGCTTTTCTGGTGCTTCCCTTAGTGTGTCGAGGCTTTAGGCACTGTCATCCCGTCTTTTCCATTGATGGTACATTCTTGATTGGCAAATACCAGGGCACACTTCTTATAACCATATCCTGTGATGCGAACAACAAGTTGGTTCCTTTGGCATTTGCTTTGGTTGAGAAGGAGAACAATGACAGTTGGGGATGGTTCTTGAGACTAGTCTGGATACATGTGGTTGGGCCTGGCAGGGAGGTTGGCATCATATCTGATAGGCATCAGGACATACTTAATGCTGTGCGGGAGCAGATAGAGGGGTATGCACCTTTGCACCATCATTGGTGTACTCGGCACCTTGCCGAGAATTTACTCCGGAAGGATGGTGTGAAAGATAACTTTGATTTGTTCCAGGAGGCTGCTCGACAGCTTGAGGACAAGTACTTTTCAGAAAAATTGGAGCAGGTCAGAACCTCATCAAATGCAGAAGGTAGACAATGGCTCACAGGTTTGATGAGGATTTGGAGAAATGGACAAGAGCTCACGACGCCGGTGGATGGAGGTACGAGTTTCAGTGCAACAACATGGTAGAGTCATTCAATAAGTTGCTATTGGGGATACGTGGTATGCCCGTGAATGCAATCGTTCAAATCATCTTCTATAAGCTTGTTGCCTGGTTCAATGATAGACATGCCCATGCATTGAAGTTGCGGAGTGTTGGAGAGATATGGGCTTCGAAACCAAAGGCACACCTAGAGAAGGTAAATGAAAGGGCTGGCACACATGAGGTTACATGCTTTGACCACGCCACAGGGACTTCTCAGGTCGAGCATAGGGGCGGTACAACGTTTGACGGCGAGGTCCAAGAGTCAAGGATGCATGTGGTTATCCTCCAAAATTTCACATGCACTTGTGGTAAATCAAGGTAGTACCACTTTCTATGTTCCCATTTGGTGGCAGCAGCTAGGCATCGCAACTATAATATCGAGAGCAGGATACCACACGAGTTTAGTGTCGACACGCTTGTGCACACATGGAGCCCCCGCTTCGTGCCTTTCCGAGATCCTAGAGAGTGGCCTCCATATGATGGGCCAAAGTACATTGCGGATCCAGCTTACCGTTGGAACAAGCGTGGATCAAGGAAGAGGACGAGGCACAGGATGGTTATGGATCAGATACCTGTAAGAACGAGATGTGGGAGAGGAACCCCATTTCTTAGTGACCCTAGGCAGCATGAGTGCGGCAAGTGTGGTAGACTGGGCCACAATTCATGCACTTGCCATTGGCAGATTAGTGAGGTGCGACTATTGGTTGTTTTCATTATTTCATATTTGTTGTATTCATTTAATTAATTATGCATGTCTCAATTTATGCATGTAATTATGTCAATTACTTGTACATTTCTAAGTTCATGTTTTATTGTATATTAAATTTCTATTTCATTGACTTTTTTTGTAGGATGGCGCAATTTCACCTGCTCGACCCGACGTACGAGGCGACCCATCGAGGATGTCTCATAGCGGAGGGGCAGGTAATAATCTATATGTTTTGTTCAAATTTTTGTGAGCGTACATGTGTTCGTGAAATAACGGGAGACTATGTTTTATTCCATGCAGGACCTTTCGCTCCTTCGTCCTAGAACCCACATTGGGTTTTTGGACATGCAGTACGACAACAGGTACACTCCTTTCCTACAAAGAGATGGCCTAGATGTCATCTCTTTTCAGATTTATCGTGGGTTACCCAAGTTCAACTCAGCGGCCATAATTGCGTTGGTTGACAGGTATTATCTTCAATCATTGCCTCCATTCGTGGCCATTTATTCATGCGCTTGCCTTTTTGACATGCAATCTTGCTTTGTCTAAAATGTAGGTGGCGGTCGGAGACTCACAGCTTCCACTTACCTTTCGGAGAGATGACATTCACGCTCTAGGACTGTCAGAAAATACTAGGCCTGAGGATTGACGACAACGCAGTCACTGGGTAGTGCAGGTCAGAAGGCTGGAGAGCACGAGTAGAGGCCTTCCTTGGACATGAGGTTGGCGAGCAAGAGGCTCACACTTCTAAAGTTCTAATCTCCTGACTCCGGCAAGAGTTCGCACAGTGCCTCGAGGAGGCGATGATGAGACAGTTGGGTACTACTG